CATGCACATGTGCTCAGCGTGAGTTTGTTATTTTTAAGAATTATTTTATTTAACTTTATTTATTTATTTAAACTTGACCAGAGTGAGAACAAATGAGCGAGTGAGAGAAAAAGAGAGAAAGCAAGCCGCCAGGTCTGGGATTCGAGCCTGAGTTGGCCATGTGGGAGTTCAACACTCTTAACCACTACGCCACCTGCCGGCCCAGACCCCAGCGTGAGTTTTAAGTAGAGGTCTAGGACTCAAACTACAGTTGACTAGGTAGGAGTCCAGAAACATAACCATTATGCTATCTGCTGGTTCCACAGCTGTAAAATTTTATGACTATATATTTGTCAGCCTTTCTCTTCTAAAAGGCAATTAGGTATAGATAAAACATAGCTAATTTCATGCTGGTTTATTCCAGAAACAAGCATTAAAAAATACATCTAAACATACAGAAATAATTTTTTAAGAAGACAGATTAGATAATTTTGAAACAATAATTATTTATTATTATTTTGACACTTCTTATAGTCATGAGAGAGAGAGACAGAGAGAGTGAGAAAGCAAGCCAGCGCCCCAATCACCACGCCACCTGCTGGCCCAGCAAGAGAATTTTTAAGGACTCTAAAGATTTAACTCCTTCAGGCACCAAAACTTTTTAAAGAAGCAATTCTGAGCCCTGAGGCAGGGGATTATAAATTCAAGGTTGGGGGCTGGCAGGTGGTGTACTGGTTAAAGGTGCTGAATTCCCACAAAGGTGACCATGGTTCAAGATCCAGACCTGGTGGCTTGCTCTCTCGCTTTCCCTTTCTCTGTCTCTGTCTAGTCAAATTAAAAAAAAAAAAAAAAAAGAATAATGACAAACAGAATTAAATAAACAATTATTTTTTTTCTGGAGAGGTTTTTGCTATAGGGCATGTGCACTAGCCAGAAGGACAGAGAAAGACAGAGAGATAGAAAGCGAGAAATCACTCCCTAGTGGGGATGGCACACCGCAATCCGTTCTCCTCCATTCTCCTCTCGGGATCTGGGCATGCACGCACATGTGCCCGGCGTGGGTTTAAGCCACTGGGTCCGGGACTCGAACCACGGTCAACCATGTGGGAGTTCAGCGACATAGCCATTACACTAACTGCTGGTCCCAACAAATAATTCTTTAAAAAAATTCAAGGTCAGCTTCGGCAACACAGTGACACTCTCTCAAAACAAAACAAAACAAAAAAACAACTTAGGAAGCAAAAAAGAAAATAATCCTAGAAGGAATTTTTTATTAGTTTTGTTTTTTATTTTATTGGTTTAGTTTCAATTTTAAAACACAATGTTCACCTCCTTAAAAGTGCTAACTGAGGGGCCATCAGGTGGTGTGGTGGTTAAGGCGCTGGACTCCCACATGGCTGAATACAGTTCAAGTCCTGGACCTGGTGGCTTAAAAAGAGTGCCCCAAATCCCCTTTTTGCTTATGTTTTTGAGATTTGTTTATATTGTTGTGATTGGTACTTTGTTCATTTTTATTACTGAGTAGTATTCCATTTTTACGATATACCACAATTTGTTTATCTGTTCACCAGTTGATGGCTGTCTAGGTTGTTTCTAGGAGGAGAATGAAGAAGGACCTGTGGCATGGCCATCCCCCTTGAGGGGGTAATTTCTCACTTTCTATCTCACTATCTCTCTCTGGGTAGTGCAAGCGCCCTATGGTAAAAAGCATTAAAATAAAAAAGTGCAAACTGAATATATAAAACATTACCTTTAAAACATATATCCAAGGATCATCTTGTTTCCCCTATTAGATCAGACATAGCGGATATTATTACCAAAGTTGGGACAGGGGACAGCACTGAGAGATAAGTGAGGTAACCTCCAGCCGTATATAAAGTTGTTATACCCATCTTTTTATCTTTTCTCTTTTCTCCTAGTGCTCCTCTCTTGTCCTCCCGTTCATAACACCTCAGACACATGGTTCCATTTAAAATATTGATGACCAGTTCTATACCCTGTTACTGTAGGCTTCTCCTCTATAAAACCGCTATCACATTATAAATAGCAAAAAATCATGTGTTGCTACTATTCCTGCTTCACTTACTCTCAAGTAGGTATTTTAAAGAGTAAAAATAGGAAGGGAAATGGCTCTAACGAAGACAGGCATCTCAAGTCAGAAAGGACAGGGCTAATACCATAAGATCCATATATTCAACTGGTGAATCAAAAAGAGATTTTTGTTAAGTTGCCAGATGCTGTGTGCACTGGCCAGAGAAAGAAAACAGAAAGTCAGAAAGAAAGAGAGAGGGAGAGAGCATCCACCACATCCTCAAAATGGAGTAAAGCCATGCTGCAGCCTCCTCTCCGTTTCTCCATCCTGTCAGAATTTTGGGCATGTATGCACATGGGTCCAGAGTATTTTTCAAACTGCCAGAGCTGGATTTGAACTGTTGTTAGCTAGGGGATATTTAGCTCCTTTAACTGCTAGGCTATGGGGTCTGCTGAGATACTGTTTATATTTTTCATTTTTAAAAAAGAATTTTAAATAAGTAATAAATACATAATAAATAACTAGCTGTTTCTTTACTTTTATTTATTTATCATTATTTTTAAAATTTTCTATAGGGTACATTCACCAGAGAGAGAGAAAGAGAGAGAGAGCAAGAAAGCAAGGTGCTAGGTCCAGGACCTGAACACTGTGGGCCATGTGGGAATCCAATGCCTTTACTACCATGCCACCTGCTGGCCCTGTGACTGTTTTTAAAAGTGATGCTATAAGCTTTTTTTTTTTTTTTAATCAACTTTGTTAACATATTATGTATGTGGTAAATGTATACCTGTGTCCATCACAATTAAAGTCAAGATTTAGAACTTTTCTATTAGGCCAGCCTATGGCATAGCGGTTAAGGTGACTTGATCCACATGGCCAATGGCACAGTTCAATTCCCAGACCCAGAAGGTTTGAGAAGCATACTAGGCATACGTGCATGTGTGCCTAGAATCCCAAAAGAAGGGAAAAATAGAGAAGAAGGGTTTGGGATGTGTCCCTTCCCCCAAAGTTGGGGTGCTATCTCACTTTTTAAATTTCCTCTCCAGTAAGCACATACACACTCTGGTAAATTTTTAAAAAAGAACTTTTCTATTACCACCAAAAGTACCTTAGTACCTCTACAATCAATTCCCTCCTGTCTGCAACTTCTAGTCAATCACTGATCTGCTTTCTGTCTTTATGTATTAGTTCTGCTTGTTGTAGAGCTTTATATTGATGAAAAGATAGAATAATGTGGTATTTCTTTTGGTTGTTTTTGAGATTTGTTTATATTGTTGTGATTGGTACTTTGTTCCTTTTTATTATTGAGTGGTATTCCATTTTATAGATATACCACAATTTGTTTATCCATTCCCCAGTGGATGGCTGTCTAGGTTGATTCCAGTTTTTAACATTATGAACAAAGTGGCTATAAACATTGTATGGTTGTATAGTAATGTGTGTTTCCCTTTAAAAGAAATTGCCCAATAGTTTTCTAAAATAGTTGTACCATTACACTGTTGCAGGCACTGTACAAGACTTCTAGCTATCCTATACCTCTGCCAACATTTGGTATTCTCAGTCTTTTTAGTTTGAGCTATCCTAGTGAGTGCATTATAGTTTTAATCTGCATTTTCTTGACAATGATGTTTAACATTTGAGCTAAATTTTGATTATACAATATATATATATTTCCTATATATATGTATACTATATTTCAATTTCCAAAAGACTGTAATAGTCTCTGGGGACTATCTCTATTTGGTATTTTTGTATTCCTATACTAGATTATTTTACAAAGAAAGATTATAGAATGCTAACACTATAAACTACAGAAAAAGATAAATTTACAGAACTAAATCTGACTTCCAGGTTAACACGTCACTATGGTATGGTGTTTGCATTTCACGTCACTATGATATGGTGTTTACATTTCACGTGGACTAAAATAAGCTCCCAGCTGTTGGCTGGGGCAGTAATACTGCCACCTCTACTGCCCCCATCTGGTAGCGTTAAAAATTAATTAAAAAAAGATCACAGAAAGCTATACTGGTTTTGGTCAGCAAAAGTCTAATTTCCAATTCAACTCTTTCATGCATATATCTTTGAAACTACAGAATGCATGCAAACTGATTTATTAGTTTACTTTAAAGAAATTACATTACAAAAGGGTGAAATAGCAAAATATTAATAGTTTAACTTCCCTTTATCAAGGAAGATGCTGTGAAGTATCTCATTTTACAGTTGTTACAAGACCTTTGGCAAATTACTTTAGTTCTAGAGATACCTTATCTTGAAAATAACCAAATTGTTTCCTAACTTAAATCATAGACTGCAAGATAGTAAAAAAATAAAAAAAAGAATCGTCTGCAGTATTTTAAGTTTCTTACTGCACAACATGAAGATATTCACTGGGTTATGCAATAATTGCTCTCTGCAAACTCACAAACGTTAACCCCAGTCCTTTCGTGTCCCCTCTCCCCGCCCAAGGAGCGACCAGATCACATGTGGACGGATATGCTGATGCAGAATCCTGGAGACGACAGCAGCCAGTGGCGCCGCCTGGCCCTTTGCCCCTTGATTTGTAGGTTCATACCGGAGGTCTCTCTTACACGGGGTCCTCCGTCCTGCCCTTTGGCAACTGATTTGGAAGTTCTCCCCCAGCGTTCCTCCACAAGGTCTCTCTCTCGGCAGTACCAAAAATAACCACAAGTCCCAGGCCAGGGGCACAAAGCCCCGAGGGGCTGCACCTGCCGAGGCCCCGCCCGGGTCTCCCGCCCAGCCTCGCTGTCCCCTCCCGCGCCTAGGGTCCGAGAGTGATTTCAGAGGGGGCAGGAGGGGGCTTGGTGGGGCCCTGAAAGGGCTTCCTCTTCCTCGAGTCCCCTCGCGCTGAGCACCTCTGGCCCACTCGGTCCAAGGTGCGAGTTCCGGAACCACAACCGGCCCGGACAGCTACCCCAGCCCTGGGCGTGCAGCCCGTCTGAAGCCCCTCCGCAGCCCCGCGGCTTACCGGCTTCAGTCCTCGGGGAACCCCGCAGGAGAGGCGTGCTGTCCGAGCCCTCCTCGCCATCGTTCAGGGCCAGGTTCCGAACCGACGACCGCATGACGCCTACGAAAAGCAGGTGTGATCTCCACCTGGCCAAGAGTAGGACTCCGGCCGAGACCGGTGAGCCAGCGGCGAGCAAAAAAGCGGGCGGGGGCGGGGCGAGGCCACTGGCACCACCCCGGCCTGGCACCGCCCCCGGCCTCGTCATATCATTGAGGCCCCGCCCACGGGCGGGCGCGCTGACTCCGCCTCCTCCGCCATCTTAGGTTCGGGCAGCTCTGGGGTGGGTGAGGAGGAAGAGAGTGAGTTTCCGGGAGTTCTGGAGCGGTGGGGAACGGTAGGCGTAGTTAGCGTTCGGTCCGGCCCGCGCAGGGCGGGTCGCCGGTGTTCTTGAGGAAGTTACCCCACGTGTGCCTGCTTGTAAGGCTGCTCCTGTGGGAGTCGGGAAGAGCCGGTGCCTGCAGGCGGGCAGTGGGGGCTTGAGCGAGGGCTTGGACGAACTAGGGATGTGAATACTGTGTGTGACGTTCAGTCCTAGTATTAAATCGCCATGAGTATTAGCAGTCTTAGTACTACCTACCCCGTGAGAGCATATTGTTCTTTAAATAGCCTTTTTTTTTAAGTGTTTACTATAGGGCACGTGCTGCGCTTCCTACAGAGAGTTGGGGTGTGGGGGAGAATCACCTCCAGTGGTGACGGCCACACTGCGAGCCTTCTCCATTTTTCTCGTGGAGTTTTGTGCACCAACGTGGTGTCTGAGGAGACTGGAGCCCTGTGATGCCGGAGGTGATTGGGGTCACCAGGCCCAACACCAGTACTGAATTCAGGCCTGCGAGGTGACCAGTCTCACGCTCAGAAAGAATGAGAAACTTGGACAGCGGAGGGATAGTAAGCCCAGTTCATCTGGAAAGAGTCAAAGCTTCCAGCCAAGTGGAAGGGCTTTCTAGCCGCCCACCACGGTCACACACTAGGGGAAAGGGTAGTCCAGTTATGTAGGCCCTGATAAATTAAAAAAAAAAGAAAAATTTAAAAACTAGGGATCAGCAGTTAGTGTAATGGCTATGTCGCTGGACTCCCACGCTGGGCTCCCACGTAGTCGACCGCGGTTCGCGTCCTAGACCCGGTGGCTTAAAACTCACACCGGGCGCGTGTGCGTGCGTGCCCAAGATCCCGAGAGGAGAATGAGGAGAAGGGATTTGCGGCGTGGCCATCCCCCCTGGGGGGTGATTTCTCGCTTTC